ACTTGCACTTCCTTCATTTAGATAAAAAATACTAAATATCAAACAGAAGGACCTTCTATAGGAAAGAAATAAAGCGTGAGGACACACTGAACCTTGTTGGATACAGAACTCAGCAGGTGGCCTAACCAGAGGCTCAGAAGTTACTTTCAACTAGATCTCTAACATCATCATCCCCTCTTCATTCTTGCTGAGACACTGCCTTATGACCCAGGTCGGCTCAAGCTTGCTATGAAGCTGCGGCTCACTCCTAAGTGAAGAGCAGCCATGAACGGCCATGCCTGGGTTGGCTACACATCCTCCTAAGTGCCCGGTTAAATCTAGCCTATTAAACATTTTTATTTGCTTGAAAACAGCTCTTTGGCAAGACTTGCCCCTCACGGATATGTGAACTCTAGCCCCAAGTTTACCAACAAATTACATTTTCAAGATAATTCCAACCTTTAGTCATTTATCTGAAATACTGATCATCACCATTTTTAATAACACATAGTAATTAATAAAGTTTTTAACCAATAATTCCTTTAAAGACAACTCATAAATCTACTATGGTAGGACAGTGGTACCTTACTCAAAGATTATAAGGGACAATCAAGATCAACCAGGAAAACAGGAGTCGCCTTTACTGTGAAAAGCCTAGATAAGGAAGAAGCAACCCAAATCACACAAGCTCCTACGAACATATCAACACACCCGTTCTCTAAGCAGACTGTGACAGAGGGTCACAGGCACACAACACACTACCTCTTTGTTCCGTCTGCTCTTGAAATGGTCTTACTATTCAGTTGTGGCAGTCCTGAAACCCACCACGTAGACCAGGCTGTTTTTTAACTCAGAGATCTGCCTGTTCTGCCTTCCCAAGTTCTGAGATTAAAGGTGTGTGTCATCATGCCCTTCTAAAATATACTACTTGTAAATAAGTACGCAATCACATTTTCACTCTAGAGCTTTGGACTGAGCTTTTAAAAAGTCATTAAAATAACTCATCTTTTTGCACAAAACTTTAAGAAATAAAGCTAGTGCACATTTTTTAAGTTTTTGTTTGTTTGTTTACAGTTGTAGAGCTCAAATTACTTAGCAACATTATGGGGCATCTCAGTACTGCGTTAACACTGGTTAATGAACATTTGTTAGTTGTAGATTATTGCTAACTACTAAAAACCACTTGTGAAGGTTAACCCAATGGTTGTCAGCTAAAAACAGGGAGGTGACTGTCAGTGTCCAGAGGAGCCCAAGGAGACATGACATCCTAATGCAATATAGTTATAACATCCTGCATAAACTCACTGAAGAGAAAATGGACAAAGAACACAACTTATAAAAAGGGCTGGAGAGATGGTTAAGAGTGCAGTTAATAGCACTGGCTGTTAACAGCACTTCCAGAGGACCGGGGTTCAATTCCCAGCACCCACATGATAGCTCACGGCTGTCTGTAACTCCTGCTCCAGGGGATCCAACACCCTCAGACAAACATACATGCAGCCAAAACACCAATGCACATGAAACAAAAAGAAAAAGAAAAGAAACCTTTTCGGTTAACAATGATCTATCAATATGTATCTGTTCACTCAGGACCATACTGATGGAAGATACTCTTTGCATGTGGACCTTGATGTCAAGTCCAAAATACATGCAGCCAAAGCTATTTCCTCAAAGGATGAAAAGACACAGAAAGCACAGCAGAGGACTGTTTGTTGTTGTTGTTTTTTGAGACAGATCTCCCTACATAGCCCTGGCCAGTCTTGAACTTAGAGATCCACCTGCCTCTGTCTCCCTACTGCTAAGATTAAAAGCACAAACCACCATTAAATTATTTAGGATGTGAATTTTATTTAAGAGATAACGATACAGTTTGCTGAACATAATGGTATACACGTGCAATCTCAGCATCTAGGAGGCTAAGGCAAGTTTGAGCCACAACAGACAATCCTGTCCTCATTCGTCCACAAACAGCTGGGATGGGAGAGGTGGCCCAGAAGTTAAGACTACTTGCTGCTCAGAGGCCTTGAGTCCAGCGGCCAGCACTCACATGTGATAGTTAACTACCACCTCTGACTCCAGATACAGATGATGTGACAGCCTCTTCTGGGCTCTGTGGTCATCCGCTCTCATGGGGCAGACACAAACCTAGACGTGAATATAAAAGGATCTTTCACCCACTCTCCCCCCAAAAAGATCTGGGGGTATAGGCCAGTGAAAGAATGCTTATGTAATTTATATAAAAGTTTTTATTTTTTTCAATTTTATCTTATCATTTTATGTGTATAAGTGTTTGCATGAATGTGTGTCTGCGTACCATATGCCTGCCTGGTGCCTGCAGAGGCAAGAGGAGGTCGGGGTACTCCTGGAACTGGAGTCACAGACACTTGTGACCCTTTATGGGGTTGCTAAGAGTCAAACCAGACTTCTCTGGAAGAGAAGCCAGTGCTTTTTTCTTTTTAATAATTTATTTTGTTTTATTATATGTACATTAGTGTGACGGTGTCGGATTCCTTGGATTTGGGGGTACAGACAGTTGTGAGCTGCCATGTGGGTACTAGGAATTGAACCCGGGTCCTTTGGAAGGGCAGACAGTGCTCTTAACTGCTGAGTCATCTCTGCAGCCCCCTTAACGGCAGCTAGAAAGATGCTCAGCAGTTAAGAGCACTTGCTGCTCTTGCAGAGAACCTAGTTTCAGTTCCTGAAACCCATATGATGGCTACGATCATCTGTACATCCAGTTCCAGAGGACCCTATGCACCTTCTGTCCTCCTTGGGCCAGGCACACACCTGGTGTACATATACACAAACAGGCAAAGCACTCATACACATAGAAAATGAAATAAATTAACCTAAAAAATTACTCAGAGAAATGTTTAGTAAGTAATAAGTGAAACTTCATGAAAACAGTAAATACCACAGAGGTTTGTGTTATACCTGAGCAGCTGAGGCCAAGTGGGAAACTTTCAGATACAACAGAAACATATACTGCAACTTTTACTGGATATTGCCTTTGACAGTCCAAAGTTTGCTTTCCCGTTTGGCCTCAGGGAGCAACTGACTCTGACATGCCTCCATTAAGGCTGACTGTAGGTCCAAAATACATTTCTACTGACAAGAATGATTTTAACATGTGCTAAAAGGAGCATCAGCAAAAGCAGCCTTTGGCCCCACTTTAATTCAGAAATTAATGAGAAAGCATACGGGAGTATTCTGAGCTCCCTGGAAAAGTGACACCAGGCAAACTCAAGACTTAGGTTACAGTATAAAGGGATAACACGATAACATACCGCCTTCTTGTTGGTCTGTATTAATACAGGTGTCTTATGTTCTGGCTGAAGATTAGCACAAAACCCTTTTTCTTCCTCATCCGTCAGGTTCCTGCTCATGCTTATAGCCCACTGAAAGTATAAAGAGTCACTAATCCCTGAAAAGGGAAAAGTATGCTGCTTGCCAGAGCATACGGAAAGGGAATGAATGGCAAGGAACCAAAGCCCTAGGCTCCCATTACCTTGCTCTTAAGGACTGTGACAAAGCAGCTCAGGGTAGAAGAGGGGTAAATAAACATTAGCAAATCGGAATTCCAGCTGCGAGAGTGTTGAGAACAGGCAGCAGAGCCCTCAGCCCTACGTCTCCAGTGCAGAGGACAGTAAGCAGTCTTTTCTTTCAAAAGAAACCTGCTAGCCGACAGGTCAACACTTTTCTCTGTGAGTCATCTACACAGTTCCAAAATGTATTCCCTCTCGCCATCTAAAAACCTGTTCACAGATGTCCGAAGCACAGAACTGACATTTCAGTTAGAAAAGACCTCCATTGGCCAGCTGGTGGTGGCGCACGTGGGGATGGAGGCAGCTGAATTTCTAGGAGTTCCAGGCCAGCCTGGTCTACAGAGCGAGTTCCAGGACAGCTGGAGCTACACAGAAAAACCCTGCCTCAAAAAACCAAAATAAATGAGCAAATAAATTAAAAAAATTAAAAAGACCTTCATGTTTAAGTAGGTGAACTCGGGAACCTCACTTACTAGAGAGAGTCTAAAGATATCAACAATTCAGTATCATTTCAAGTGATGGAATGATCGGAGCCTTGTAAGTGAAGGCAGAACACAGTCAGTTTCTTGTTCGCTTGTTTTCTGAGACAGTCTCATCTTTGACTTGGAATTCGGAGAACTGCTTGCCTCTGCTTCCCCATTGCTGGGGCTTAGGCATTTGCCAGCCACGACAGCTGGCCTCTACAGACCCTTTTACAACCTGTACTGGGAAAATCAAACGGCAAGTAGTTCTCTAGCAAAATTCATCATTAAGATATTAGAGATGACATGGAGCATTAGCCAGTAAGTCAAATCCAAAAGTGAGGCCTCGGAGATACACTCATCTGACCTAGAGGAAGGAATCACTGCCTCACAAACTGGCATTTTACAAATGAAAAGCTTTGGTAGAGAGCCAATTTCTCCAGCTCTCTGAACCGCAGCTCCAGAAGGGGGGAAAGGTCGCACCTTATCCAAACAAAGCCAAATAATCCCAACAAAGCCAAATATCCCAAGCCACCCTATTTGCAGAATAGAGATACGAGAGTATCGGAATTTTAGAACGGACTGATTCAGTTCATCAAAGACCGTAAGCCCGCCCTCAAAGATTCAAAACTTTGTCTCCCTCCCAAAGTCCTGTAACTATCAAAGAAAAAAAAAAAAAAAGACAAAACAGATTCACCGAGACACTGCTTGTACAGAAAGTGTTAGATTCGCACAATATACACTTCATCGTCCGAGTCTAGGGCGCCACAGACGTCTGGTCCTACCAAGCAGTCAGAGTCGGGGCTCCAGACGCTGGCCAGGAAACTGTCCGCGCTTGTCACCGGGTCCCGCCGCGAGCGAGGTTCGGGAAAGTTCCCAAAACGCTGGGCTCTGGCTGCGGCGGGGTCGGTGGCCCGCTGCCCACCCACGGGGAGAGAGCGGACCTCCGCGGCCGCCGAGCCCGCGGTCCGCACCGCCCGCCCACAGCCCGCGCTCCCGCCGCCCTCCGACCCACCGGGAGGCCTCTGCGCGGGGCTCTGCAGAGCCGACAGGTTCAGCGCCGCCGCCTTGTCCCGAACCGTGGCCATGACCGAGGTCAGCTTCACTCCGCCGTCCGCGAGGCTGCTCCGGCCCCTGGCTCCGCAGACTGCCCGCCCGCGCGCCAGCCTCCGCTTAACTGGTCCCGGGGGGCGGGGCTCCCGGCTGGCCCCGCCCCTCCCGATCACGTGTCCCGCGGGCCGGCTCCCAGGCTGCCTCCACTGCGCTCCAGAAAGCCCCAGGCCGCTCAAGGCGGGCGGTGCCCAGGTAAAAAGCGCTTGGCTGGGCGTGGCTTTTCCCAGGCCAGTCCGCACTAGTCCGAGGCTAGGCCCGCTAGGTCCAAGTTGTCTGTCCGGGGTCTGCTCCCAGTCCAGTCCCAGGGCCCTCACCTGCGAGGACTAGGACCAGGTTGTCTGAGCTTTTAATGAGGTTTGCCTGAACCGACATTAAGTGCTTCCACGTGTGTCACGATAATAAATACTTGGAGTTTTTCCCATCCCGTCCCTCTAAAGAGCAAACAAAACCTTATCTGGCCCGGGAGAGCAATGTCTAGAGGTCAGAGGACCTCAAGGAAAGATTATGGGGCCGCCTGCCAAGGAAATCTGTGTTGATTCTAAGTTAACCCTGGGTCTGGCGAGCCTGGGACACGCTGCGGGAAGGGGAGAGTGGGAGAGCAGGCTGGAGGGGAGGGGAGAGAGGGTTGTTGCTCGAAGTGCCTCAGATTCGTGGGTAGTTGAGGCACGGAAACCAGGAGCTCAAAGCTGGCTAAGTCCGAAAGGTTAAATGATGTAGGCGATCATTAACCCAAACGACTAATGCGTGCTCCTTTTTTTTTTTTCCCCCTTTCTTTTCCGTTCCTTCTTCTTTTTGAAGAAAGACAAGGCTTAGGATATATCCTGGCGGTCCTAGAATTTGCTCTGTAGACCAGGCTGGCCCCGAACTTGAAAATTTCTGGTTGCCTCTGTTTCCTGAGTGCAGGGAATAAAGGCATGTGCTCACAACTGCTCGCCCTTTCTCTACCTCCCTACCTTTTTGGGGAGCAGGAGAGATGACTCAGCAGGTAAGAAGAGCTCTTGCCGCACTAGTTCGGTTCCCAGTACCCGTGGACCTGCTCACAACCACGAATGAGCACCAGTTTCTGACGCCGTCTTCTGGCCTCTGCAGACGCGCGAACTCAGGTCTCCATCGTCATGATTGCACGGCAAATTCTCATAACCACTGAGCCATTTCTCCATCCTGGAAAACAAATCTTGACAAACACTAATCGTGGGCCTTTTGCAAAAAGCAGGTTAGCCTGGTGACCATTTTGAAATGTTATGTATTCCCAAGGCATTTTCCCCACAAGTCTGTGCTGCTTGTCTATCCTAATTTGAATGCTGGCATTTCTATCTACATTGAATGTACCCACTTTCTTCACTGCCCAGATTTATCCCTCTATTTGTAGCACTTGTTAAACATTATTATTCATTTCTATATTTTGTTTTGAAGTAGGGTTTTGCTGTGTAACCTATGGTGGCTTGGAACTCACCATATGTGTAGTTCAAGCTAGCTTCAAATTTATAACAGTCCCTCTGCCTCCCAAGTGCTGGATTATAGGCAAGCAACACCGCGACCCAGTTCCCATTTGTACACATAAAAATCTAATTATTTCAGCAAGCATCTATCTAATTGCCTACCAAATTGGGAACTCCAGTAGGTGAGTGAGCACATCTCAGCCTCTCAGGTTCTCTCCCATCTGTGTAATCTTAGGGATGGAGTAGATGTTTTGGTTGTTCTAGTAAACACTTTGGGCTGGGATGTCTGTAGTTCAGTGGTAGAACAATTGTCTGGCTTGCACAGGGCCCTGGGTTTGATTCTCAGCCGGGGACACCTACACTCTCGCGCCAGCACACCAGCTTTCATAGTTTTTAAAAATGTGTTTAGGAAACCACCAAAAAACCTTTAATTCCTCTTGTAAATAGCAAGTATTACAAAGAGTAAATTTCTTTCCCCTTTTTCCATCCCTTTTTAATTCAGTATACAGCTGCAAAGCCTTTGGGCTCTTTTGCTCTGTTTCTTTTTTCTTCATATACTATAAAAATATTGGCATCTTGCACCCGGACTGTTAATATTGCACATTAGTTTTTGTTTGGAGGTTTCTCTTACACCCGTACCTTCCACTCCACTCCACATGTAGCCCAGGCTGGCCTCAAGCTTGAGATCCTCAGCCTCCCAAATGCTAGGATTACAGGCACATTCCACCCGGGGCTGGCTCAAGAACACTGTTTTTACTCCGTGTACAGAATGCTTTAAAATCACTTTCATCTTTAGCTATTTCTCAAACCGGTCAGCTATGTCTAGCCTATGGGAAAAGCTTCACTTGATGTAAAGTTGGTCAAAAAACAAGTCTGAGCCAGTCAAGAGGTAGAAAACAGAAAGTTTATGATTCATTCGCCTATTCTGTTCTGGCATGAATATAAAAAAAGAGAAATCTGTTTTCTCCAGCAGTGTAAAAACACTGATGACTGGGTTGGGGGGCGGAATTCATCTTTGTTTGTCTCTTTGTGCAAAGCTAGGGCTCTAACCGTGGTATACATGTTGACAATTACTATTCCACTGAGCCACACCAATAGCTTCAGGCAGGTTTATGATATTATTTCTTTTTCAATTTGAAGGTTTTCTGTTTATTTATTTGCTCATTTTAGGTGGGGTCTCACAGTGTAGCTCTGGCTGCTTAGAACTTTCTGTGTAGACTGGGTTAGCTGTGAACTCACAGAGCTCTGCTTCCTCTGTCTTCTGAGAGTGCTGGGCTCAAAGGCATATGTACGCTGGCTTTGCATTCCTGGGCTCTAGCAAGTCTCCTGCCTCAGTCTCCTCACTACTTTAGCACCTTGAGCACTCCCAATTGACAAAAAAAGGCCTCCATAAGATCCAGCTGTAGGCAAGCTGGTAGGACGTTTTTTTTTAATTAGTGATTGATGTGGGAGGGCCCAGCGCACCGTGGGTGGAGGAGACACATCTGGACTGGTGGTCCTGGGTTCTATTAAAAAAAAAAAAAAGGCTGAAGTGGTGCACCTTTGATCCTAGCACGTGGGAGGCAGAGGCAGGTGGATCTCTGAGTTGGAGGCCAGCCTGGTCTACAGAGTGAATTCCAGGGTAGCAAAGGCTACACAGAGAAACTCTGTCTGGAAACAAAACAAGTGATTAGCTCCTCAATTAGGGGTAGGACTTTGTGCCCATTTCCCTCCTTCCCTCCCCCCCCCCTTTTTTGGTCTTGGGTTTGGACAGGGTTTATGTATGTTGTCATAATCACTGTGAATTCATATGTGCACCTACCCTGTTCTGTCCAAAAAACAGGGGTTTTTTGTTTGTTTGTTTGTTTGTTTAGGTTTTATTTTTTTGTCATCTGTGTGTCAATATTTTATTTTATTTTTCAAGGTAGAGTTTCTCTGTGTAGTCCTGGCTGCCTCCTGGGACTCCCTATGTAGACCAGGCTGGCCTCAAACTCACAGAGATCCGCCTGCCACTGCCTCCCGAGTGCTGGGACTAAAGGCGTGCGCCACCACTGCCCTGCTCGTTATATTTTCTTTGTCTACTCTTCTGTCGGTGGCTATTCCAACTGTTTCCTCCTCCTTCTCTTCTCTTTTGTTTTGTTTGAGAAAAAGGTCTCTCTGTGAAGCCCTGACTACGCTGGAACTCGCTGTGTAGACTAGGCTCCCAAACTTAGAAAGATCCACCTGCCTCTGCCTCCCTCTGGACTGAGGGCGTGTGCCACCGCTGCTGGGCTGTTTCCACTTCTTCTTTTTTTTTTTTTTAAATCTTTTATTTATTTTTTATTAATTACATTTTATTCATTTTGTATCCCCCCATAAGCCCCTCCCTCCTCCCATGTTTCCACTTCTTGATGCTTATGAATAATGCTCCAGGGAACATGGGTGTGCAAATACTTCTTCAAGATTCTATTTTCAGAGCTGGAGAAAGAGGTCAGTGCTGAAACACTTGCTACATGTGCATAAAACCAAGTCCCCCCCCCCCCAGCAATTCAAATACACAGAGATTCTCCAGATGGTATATACCCAGAAATGAGATTTCTGTATCATATTATAATTTTTAGTTTTATTTATTTCTTTTTGAGGAACTTCTCTCTTTTTATCAGCAATCGTCCTGCCATTTTACATTCCCACTGCAATCTACCAGAGTTCAGGCTTTTCCACATCCCTGACATTTTAAAAATGTGCCTGTCTTTGCCGATTTAGTGGTGCCGAATCTTTTCCTTTTCTCCCAGTTCTGGAGCTGGAATCCAGAGCCTTGTCACGATAAGCAACACTATGCCACCACTCACATCCCCAGTCTGGTTTTCGCTTTGTTTTGAGGTAGGAGCTTGCCGTATACCACAGCTGGCTTCAAACCTGGGATCTCTTGCTGCAACCCCCTGCATGCTGGGATTGCAGACATGATGGTCAAAATGTGTACTCATTCAGTGCAGTGATAGCTAAGAGATGTCGGGGTAGTAATTCCAAGTTTCGATCACGTCTATTAAAAATTTTTATACATACATTACAAAACTGGATGCTAGACATTTGAATCTTTCTGTTGAATCTGTTCAACATTTAGTTAAAACTTCAAATTTCTTACTGTTAAAGACCTGATGAACATGGCTGGGGAGCTAGTTGGCGGTCAGTGAAATGCTTGCTGAGCAGGTGTGAGGACCTGCTTTGCTTCCCAGAGCCTAAATTAAAAACTGGCTAGAAGCCAGTCATGCTGGCATACACCTTTGATCCCAGCACTTGGAAGGCAGAGGCAAGTAGATCTGAGTTCAAGGCCAGCCAGGTCTACAGCCAAGGCTACAACCCTGTCTCAAAAATCAAATCAAAACAAAACAAGACAAAAAAAAAAAAAAAATAACCAAGCAACCAAACAAATATGGCTGGTGTGGTGATACACACTTTGATGCCAGCACCATGGAGGCAGAGGCAGGAGGCTCTGTTAGTTTGATGTGAGATTGGTCTGCATAGTGAGTTCCAGGTCAGCCGGAACTACACAGTGAGGCCATGTCTCAAACCAACAAGCGAGTAAGTAAAGAAAAACTGAGCATGGTAGTACTCTTGTGTTTTTT